GCCATCAGTGCCTGAATGGAGCAGGGATGATGGCAAGACAGAAAGGATGGTGGTTTCTCGTTCCCCAAAAGTGTGTGTAGTCACAACCCTCTCTTCAGCATGTTTGCAACAACTACACTCTGAAGTTGCTTCCCTCAGTATCCTCCTAGACTTCCCTTAGTATCCTCCTAGACTGTTTAGTGCTCATCTAGATAAATCCATCATCTTAGAACAACTGAGCAAGGTGTCCAGGATGCAAATATTCATATGATGAATAAATATATGATGAATATATGATGAATATATGATGAATTAGATCTATAGGATACAAGTGGCATAGCCTAGCCATTGCACCCAATTTCTTTGGAGAAAAAGACTGTCTCTCCCTCAAAGTTTTCACTGTTTTCTCTTTATAGCTCTGCTGAATGACCCCTTGTTTATTCTACCATACCCACATCTAGACTGTTAACAAACAGAAAGTTTAATACTCTTCAGACTAAAGCCAAGGGATGTTTCACTAAGTCCATAAAAATCAAGTGTAGGTGAATTCAGCCAATTAGTTTTAGATTTTTGTTGTTGTTTTTTTTTTGTCTCTCCTAGCATTAAGTTTCCATTAAGTTTTCTTAATTGAAAGTATCCCTGCCTTCAAGTAACACAGCCAGATTGCTTTTGGGTGACTTTTCTAAATCCTAACAAGTAGGTGCTACATATGCTTCTGTTCAACACAACACCATATCCACCAGTAACTTCTGTGTTAAGTTTCACCCAGTAATGATTTTTTCCAATATCAATCAGAACAATAAAGCAGAATGGATACCTAGAAATAGGAGTTAAGATTTTGATTGACAGTGAATAGCAAACAATATTTCCAACTCAATAAATGTCAGTGAGCTTTTGATAAGCAAGATAAACTATAATAATCTCTGGAGTAGAACAGAGTACAAGAACAGTAAAAAAATAAAAAAATAAAAAATAAATTTGAATATTATTTTCCTGAAAGAAAAAAAAAAAAAAAAACAACTATTTGAAATATTTTTTTTCTGCAAAATATGTCTCACAATTCTGTATGAACAGATGTATTTCAAAAACAAAAAAAAAAAATGTGAAAAGCTTTTTTTCATTAATTCTGTAGGTATAGAGAAAGGACCTAAAATAAATAACATAAAGAAGAAAAAAAAAAAAAAAAAAAAAGGTTAGTTCTTTATTCCCCAAACTAATTTTAACTTCTTATACCAGAACTATTAAATCACCATATATAATGAATCTATAATTGTACCTGGTATAAATATAAGTGTAAGAAAATGCACAACAAGAACATTTAAGGATCGCTAGCAAAAGCTTTACAGACAAAATCAAAATGAAACAATAGAAAACATTTCCAGACTATGCATGAAAACCCTCTCTCTGTATGTTCAGATTAATTTTAGAGGTGGATTCATCTGGGATCTCTGGACGTTCATTTCAACTGTGCATATCTTATATGTCTGCAAAACTTGTTAGAGTAGAGTATTGTCATGTACATAATTTTTCTTTCCTTTTGGGGTGGGGGAGATGAGAAACATATAGCATTGATTTTTTGTGCTTAGAAGTCATCATGTCTTCTCATTAATCAAGGATATGACCAGTCTTAGATGCTTACAAATTTTGTAGTCCATCCTTATATTTTCAATCTCTAGAGATCTTCTCAGGGAGCTTGGCAAATCAGTAGTCAATACTTGGACTTAGATAGACCTTGATTAATAAATGGGATATCTCTTCTATTACTGAAACCTGTCATGCTGCTCCATAAGTTACTTCAATAAGTCAGCAGGAAAAAATAAAATAAAATGGGAGCACTTCAAAAATTTAAAGGGATTCTAAATCTTGGACTTCTATATGATTTCCTAAATTTATTTAGTAAACCACTGATTTAAGTAGTGGATTCACACTTTATTCTCAGCTAAACAACTTGCTATATTTTTCCCCAACATGCCATAGCAGATTTCAGACAGGAAGGTTCTGGAGAATATTTTGTGCCTACACTGAGGTGGAGAGGTAAGGCGTATTTGACTGACAACTAGTTTTTAGTTTGCATAGCTTGCGTAGATGTTTCTGGGGTAAGAAAGAATTTTTTATTTCTTGAAGGAATATTTTTCCACAATGCAAATGATATTATGATTTATCTGCCTGGTCAAAGTCTAGTGGACATAAAAATCTATAAACAAACAATGTCAATTAGGCTTTTAATGATATAGTATTATTTTGGTACATTCAGGATTATGATGGATCTGGATCAGAAACCTAAAAGTTTGTGAGATTTTTTTTTGTTTTGTTTTGTTTTTCAAATATTACTTTTTCTTTAAAAAATAGAAAATACTTAGGAAGGATTTTTTTTTTTTTTTTTTTTTTTTTTTTTCTGGGAGGCGCAGATTACACTTATTTATTTAGTTAGGAAGCTGAAAACTTTCTGAATTGTGAATAACCTCCTAAAATCTTAGTGCCTGTGCATGATTTTGACCCACAGAAGCTGATAGTGTGCCACAGTCTGATCAGAGGCTTCTTTGCAGCCTCATTTGGTGTGTTGTTTTGGTCTAGGCTTTGCTTGGATTTAATCCTCTCAACATCTGTGTGAAACAAAAGTGTATTTTAAAGCTTTTGTCCAAAAATGACTACAAAAGAGAAGACATATAAAATTGTTGCATTTACTATCGTCTCCATTTTTTTTTTTTTGGGGGGGGGGGGAGGAGGGATACACTCATCAGAGATGTAAAACTTCTTCAGAGATGAAAACGTACTATAATCAGTCTTTACTCATAATCAGCTTTGGTGAGCAAGAATTCAGCTAATCTAAAAATTGATCTCAAGAATGTCTCTAGCCGCATGTTGAGTAGGTATATTGGGTTTATGTGGCAAGGTTGGGGGGGGGGGGGGGGCTGCAGAGGCAGCCTTTGTGAGAAGAGCCCAACAGCTGCCCCATGTTAGATAAGGGCCAGTTTCAGCTGTCTCTAAAGGGACCTGCTGCTGGCCAAAGCCAAACCAGTAAGTGGTGTTGTTTGCAAGTCTATCAAAGCAGATTTAAGAAAGGAGAAGAAACAACCGCTGCACAACAGCAGCTGGGAGATCAAGGAGTGAGACCAGCCCTACAGCCCTAAGGTGACAGCAGCAGGAGGGCAGGAGGTGCTTCAGGCACACAGCAGCAGTTCCCCTGTGGCCCATGGAGAGGCCCCTGGTGGAGCAGGCTGTCTCCCTGCAGCCCATGGGTCCCACATGGAGCAGATCTCCACTCTGCAGCCTGTGGAGGAGCCCCTGGTGGAGCAGGTGGATGTGGCCTGGGGGAGGCTGTGGCCCATGGAGAGCCCCCGCAGGAGCAGGCCCTGGGCCAGAGCTGCAGCCTGTGGAAAGAGAAGGGGCAGAGAAGAAGCGTCAGGGACACTTTTTTTTAAAGAGTGGAATGAACTAGATGGTCTTTTCCTCCAACCAGATCATGAGAGATCTGATGTGATAGCAAATGGCTGATTTTGCACACACTCAGGTAAATGTTTCAGTTTTCATGTACCTTTTTTACTATCCCAATTACCATATTTGGCCTATAATCTCTTCACTGCCGTCAATTTACCTCAAAACAAAAGAAAGAAATCTAACCATTAGGATTCAGAGTCTAGGAACAAAGTTGGCTTGACTAAAAGCCCTGGAAATGGCATTGTCATTTTACCACAAAGGACAGCAACAATTTGTTCAGTGATAATAAAAGGCCACCTCAAACTCTGATTGATTTGATGGGGTCCATCTCAGAGAAAGTAATTTTAGCTATGAAATTCTTGCCTTTTTTCTTTCTGCAAGGCTGGCCACCAGTGATTATTCGGTGTAAACACCTCTCCCTTATAACACAGCCTGTGTCTATCAGTGGAGAGCATGGCAGATCAACTGGAGTGGAGTGATAATGGCTCCTTATCAGCAACAGAGGTGACCGGATTTAAACAAGGTCTCAAGTGACCAAATCCTGTATAGGATTGAACATGGATATCCATTTGGGAATAGACAACTGTCTGAGTGAACAGAGTTTTTCCCTTCTTCTTGTGAGCTGAAATTAGCTAAAGTCTTTCTCTTAGCTATCAGTTCAGCAGATTTCTTACGTTTTAGGATGTAGTCCATTATAAGTAAAAGGCTGGGGGCATCTGTTACAAAATGAAAGACTTCTCACCCTGTTACCTCAACTATTAACTGTCTGCCCAGTTCCCTCACAAGTGTCCTATACTTGCACTTTTCCCCTTATATACTAAATGACAACCCTGTATTGATCTGGCAAAAAAAAACCCTCTCCTAGTTTAAATCCCCTTAAACTCTTTCCTCTGTAGTGATTACTTTGGGAAGGCATCCAACAAATGGAAAATGATTTGGATGAGGAGAGGCATGAAAAAATGTATATTCAAAGACAAAAAGTGTATGGAAGCCCTACGTTCCTCCTCTTTTCCAACCTTATGCTGGTAAGCCAGCAGCAGAACCACCTAATTTTCAGAAGCTAGTCAGCCAAACTGGAGGGGAGGAGCTGTCTGTCCTCATCCATTGGGGGAAAAAATAAATAAATAAATAAATAAATAAATAAATAAATAAATTAAAATGGGGCTATGTGGAGAACACCACTTGCATAGACTTTCTGCGCAGAGCAGGTAGTTTCTGTGCTGCAGTGCTGTGTCTGCACTGTAACATGCTCCTGCTCCCAGGCCAGATGTTGCAGCATCTGCAGCTCACTCCTGAGCACTGAGCTGCACAGGGCAGGGAGAGCAGAGTTCAGCTCATCGGCCATCCTCCTCTTCCCAGTAGCCATTCCCTGACTCCTGTCAGTCAAAAAAGGGCAAGCCAAAAGGGGCACCCTGCTGGAGAGCCCTGAATGAAGCCAGCACTGCTGTTGACAGGACTGTACTGATCCTCAGCAGCTGAATGCAATGGGGTGTATCGATTGGACCAAATTAATCATTACACAGATGCCTTTAATGTCATCATTAAATCAATTTGGAGTTTGCTTACATTTTTGATGACTCCTAAGTAATTGCCAAAGTTATCTAGGGAGGAAGGTTCATGTAAATGACATGGTGTCCACAGTCCACAGGTGGGGATGAAAAGTCGTTCCTTTTCTGGAGTCTCTCACCATCTGGAGCTCTGAAAAAAAGCAAAACACTTTTTTATTGTGGTACTGCCATTTGGACTCCATTGAAAAAACAAACAAACAAACAAACAAACAGGTCAGTTATTCTGTTATTCTTTCCCTTCCTTTATTCTCCATCCCAGAAGATGCTGGCAGCTTAGGCTTCTTAATGGAAATTTTTCAGTTCCCTTATTCATAACATGCTTCTCTTGCTTTGCATCTTGTTGTTCTTAACTGAACCATTAATTTGTAATATTTTTGTTTCTTTTTTATTGCTTTTTAACAGAGTTACTGGAGGAAGAATCCGATTCTAGAGGAATTATTTTAACTCTGACTTCAGCGGACCTTGGAAAGGATCCTGAATTTGAAATACATCATTCTGCCATCTTAGAAACACATTTGGCACACCCTGTTTGAAGATATCATAAACGGCATATATGATCTTTTATTCATAATCTACTGTTGCAGCTGATACTGTTGGATTTAACTGTGGTTTTTCGTCATAGATAAATGCATTCTTTAAAGGGCTTTGAACCATTTTTAAGTATGAATGTACTGTACAGTGTTTTATGACAACTGGTTGATTAGCCCTGATTTGTTTTTCTTTTGGAAGTTTTCTTTTCATGTGTGTATGAAGCTGTGCATTATATTTACTTTCCAGCATCAGTGACACCAAAAGCTAAAAAGCTACTCACAAAATCAGCTACCAAAAGTCATTGCTGGATTTGTTTCCTTTTGCTTTGCATCTGCTTGGCTACCATTTCTGATATATTAGAGGAATTTGTAAACACACATATCAAAGAAATTAATCAAAACAGCCTCGTGCTATTGTGTATATTTGACCCACGGTGTTTATTTAATCTCTGGTCTACATTACACCGGAAGCCAGATTTTACGGATTGACAAAATTGCAATCAAAGATTGCAAAGACACAGTGTGACACAGCTCAGTGGCTGGCAGCGGGTGGCCACAGCAGCCTGGGATAAATGTTGGTTGTTCCCTGAATATACTGGTTTTCATGCTCCAGTGTTTTCTTTCCTCTTCTCAGCCCTCATCTGTGCACTCCTGCCCTTCTGCAGGTGACCTCTGGTGCTCAGTGGGAACCACGATGAGGTCTGAGCTAAATCACTGCTGACTCTAACTGCAGCCACAATAACGTAGAGTGACACTAAGTTATTACAGTAACTGCTATCCTTAAAATCTATGAAACTGTGTGAAATTTATGAATTGTGAAAGCAGTTGCATACATGAATAAGACAATTCACTTGAGTAATCCTAATTTTAGTGCTATTGATTGTGTATTCCTTTGGAAGAAGAAAATCCATATATCGATAATCGTCATCTCCGAAACCCACTAAATTGAATTAGCGTTAATTCACATTTCATTATAATATTATTTTTATCAATCATCTAGAGCCTGTTATGTAACAAAGCTTGCAGTGTATAACTGAGAGAGAGTGCCAGGAAATTAAATCAGAAAAATTTATAAAATACATTATCTATATTAAACCTATGATTCTGCACAGATATTTAAATTCATCATAAAACTGATATACAATATTCTAGAAGGAAGAAGATTGCATTTTGGTCATAAAAGCACACAGATTGGTCTCTTCCGTGCTATCATGCCCACTCTTATCTTTCTCTCCTTACAGATGGGAGGCATGAGGGATGACTGTAGATGTACACTTTCTGTATTTTCCTCAATATCTTTCAAAAGCAAAATTGCATTAACCAAAATAGTAAGGAATTCTATGCATTCTCACTATTTATGTAGAGTGAAAAATAATTATATGCCACCAAATCCCAAAGATCTTTAGGGTGGGGGCAGGTGGGGGGAGGGTTCAGAGTGTTGCCAAAGTCCTATTCATAGTGCTATCCACTGAACCCAGGATTTATTTAATAGTTGCAGTTTCTTGCCTGGTGTATATGGATCCTAGAAAAGTCAGTTATAACTTCAATTTAAACAAAAGTTTCTATCTTCTTCTATGTAAAATAATTGCTATAGCTCAAAGTTATCAGTTGTACCTAATATCAGCTCTCAAAAGTTTCTGAAATTTTGAAAAATACGACGTTATTTACCTTGATTTTCTGAGTGCATCAGCTATGAGTCATTTCACCCCTGATAAAATGGAGGCACTTGTAAGCAGACCCCTGTCTCCTCCTAACTCCCCTGGTTCAGGGAAAAAAATAGTTTGATGGGATTTGTGAGTGCCTGACTTAGAGAGGTGGGCGTTGAACACAGGTGCTGTGCACCAGCCTGAGCTCTGCCTTGGAGACTGAGGTCCCTCCCCCCCCAAGTGTTGCTTATATTTGGGAGTGAGTTGTACAAATTACTTGTGCAACCATGCTCTTGAGGTCTCCTTTTTATGATGAAGTTTAGTGCTGGAAAACACCTTCAGTGAGAGCAATGGTATCTGCTGGTGCCTCCAAGGACTGTGCACCAAACACCCGGGGGGATTTCTTAGGCTCCAACCTTGGAGAGAGATGGGCTTGTGGCAACTCCAGCTAAAGGCACAAAAGGTGCTGCAGAGAAGAAAGATACAAGGACATTTACAAAGAAATGGCCGTTTTTTCTGTTTTCCTACTAGTAACTAAATACTTGCTAGAATTATTTTGAAAATTAATCCTTTACTATGGTTTTGCTTTGTCCAATACCATTCTCTCCAACCTCCACTGCACGAACACACACCTGCACATGCCCGCGTCCACAGCAACATTTTTTTCTTGAGAACCCCACCAGCTAAAAAGCATTAGAGCCAGCACTGCTGTGCACATAATCCAAAATGTCTGAGTTATAGCAGTTTAACAGATTACACTTATTAGCTGAGTGACTGGGGCTGACTTTGTACATAGTTTTAGCTTTTTCTACAATGACAAGCATAACACTTTAGTTTAAACCTCTGTGGAGGTGATTTAAGTAAGGTCTACTGCTTTATGATTTCAGCTTTGAAAGTGCCTTTCTGTGGTCTGGGTCAAATAATTTAATTTTAACCCATGATGTTTCAACTACTTTCCTCCAAAACAGGGAAAACATTTGTTTGATATGAATAAGGGGCTGTTAAATAATTAAAGCTTTTTGGTAAACTGTTTATTTGAAATGCTATAAGGAGATCAATGAGATCAATACGGTGAATTGCATGAGCAGATATTTGAGAATATAAATAAAGTGTTAATAATCTTTGCTAACTAATTAATACCTGCAGAATGTTAAAAAAAAAAAAAAAAAAGGCATTGAATTCAAGAATATTCAACGCCTGAAATTCCTTTCAGTTATTTCAGGCAATTACTGCCAAAAGCATATATATTTTTAAAAGGTATAAAAGCGTCATCTTGATGGAGTCAATGCAGTTAGCCAGGACAACCTAAAAACTATTCAATAATTGTACTTGGGGTCCAATTTGAAAATTAGCCCAAGACAGGAAGTTATTTCCTCATTCCATAAAACATTTTCAGATTGAAAAAGTCCTGTTCTGAAGCAAGCTATAACCAGAAGGTTTCAGAAGTTTTCACCATAAAGCAAAATTATAAAGACTCGCTGTTGGAGGCCTTCGCCTAAGACATGCCTGAGCCAAGTCCCTCTGTGTCTGGTTCAGGGACTTCAGCCCGGGGCTCATCCCACACACCACTGACTGCCAGCCCGTTACTTATTTCTGGGCTGTACTTCCTCTGGCTGAGTCTACTTTTTGCAGGTAAATAACAGGTTTTGAACAAGTAGAGGTGTAAGGGTGAAGAAAGAAGGAGGCTGACTAACTACTTGACCCAAAACAATGACTAGGTCCTTTTCCTAGGTGGGGAACATAGCAAATGGTTCAGAAAGTCTTTATCACAGTAGTTCCTCTTCGGAATAAGGAAAAAGAATGATACTACATGTTAATATGGTATTTGGGGAAGGTCAGGTTCAAGTCTCTAGTTTGCATCAAACAAGTACAGAGACATTTGTATATGTGTATGTCTCTCCATAGAACTAGAGTCAGAACTGTCCTGCTCAATTTGAAAAATATTCCAGGCAAAAGTTCTCTTAAAACTGGTACTTTACCATGAGACACTTCACTTTACTACAGTGAGTCATAATTTCCCGATCAAAACACCCTGCTTAAAAAAAAAAAAAAAAGGTAATCCGGTTTTACCATCCTGTAAATTTTTCCTTCCATCTGTAATGCTCTTGGTGGAATTGAGTGCATGCTGGAGTCAAGGTTGGAAGATTATTGCCCATATGTAAAATAAGCCATTTAAGTATGAAGCCTGCTATATACTGAGGTCATGATGGACTGACTTGACTTATCTTCAGTGAAAAGAAGCAGCAAAGTATTATTTTTCCCACCTTCTGCTGAGCCAGCCTTCTCAGCTCCTACTGATTTCAACAGAAATCTGCTTGCTTTAAGGTTTGGTTTTTAAGTTATACATCTTGCATTTGACCTATTATTAAGATATATTTGTATCCACTTTCTTCATTTCTATCCATGCATTTTAATCCAAATGGAATTTTACAAAGGAATAGAGCATCTACTTTTAAAAAGCTGTAAATCAAATTAGGAAATATACAACTTCAAAATTTCCATCAAGACCTGTCATTTTCTTTGTCGTATTCACCTTTTCTGCATCACGATGAGAAATAGAATGAAAGCAACCATCCTTGTCTGCGCAAAGGTGCATCTTTACAGAATGAGTAGGATTCCAATTTTCTTGTTTTCTTATGGTCCAACTTAGGAAATTATTCAATGTGCTTGTGGTCAAGATCTAAAAATGTTGCAAGTGACTGAAATGTCACTTAAGTGAAACTGAGGTGTCCAAGCCAAACCTTTTTCTCAAAAGTCATTCTGGCTGTTAGGTACCTCTGGGGGAAAGTAGCGTTTGTCCTCTTTTGCTTCCCCTTTTAGCAGGGCAGTGCCTTCTTCACTTGTCAGGCCACTCAGGATCCTGAAATAAGTATTCTTTTTCCTAAATCTCCCAAGGATTTTGATCTGATAGCAGCTCAGATCATGGCCAACAAACATGTGAAGAATACAGATGAAGTCATTTTATTTTTAAAACTTGGCCCTCGAGAGCATGATTGGTAGTAGTGTTTATGTGTTTTATATGCTAGCTATTTCTTACACCTTTTGCCTAAGAAATGGAGAACATATATTTAATTTCACCTTCTGCCAGGGAAAGTTCAAGCCTGCATTTCCAGCCCCACTGTATAGCTCCTGAACCATTACACTAGGAGCTATTCTTGGGTTTCTGGTCTCCAGACCAGAGGTATTTTCCAAAGACAGTTTATTCCAGCAGTAAAGGTTTGAATTGCTTCCGACCAGGAAGGGAGCTGCACTCCAGGCTTCTCTGTCTGTACAAACGATCAAAGCAGTTGGCAGCTTCACAGCCTCTGGACCTTCCTAAAAACAAAGAACCTCAATCAGCCTGTGGAAGGATACTCAGAGGTTCTTTCCTCCAGCTACGGGCTTCAGATGGACCCAACGTGGATGTTGCCCTGCTACCAGACAGCTAAATCTGGAGGCAGACAGGGTGGGAGAGCCTGCACTATGCTCATTACTTGCTACCACCAGGCTCCTTTCCTGATCATCATCGTGGAGGCTTCCCATATGGTACATTCGCCTTCCCAAAGATGTGTTTCACACAAAAGAAGTAGCCCTCAATAAATGGCATTTGTTGAAATGCTTCTCCTTATTTTTTTTTTTAATCTTAGTTATTTAAATAGCCCATTACTATAGCAACTAGAGCCTCACTATCTTTAATATATTAGTCTTCATTACACCATATGAGGCAAGGGAATATTATTATTTTACTTTACAAAGGTAGGAGTGAGATATGGATACTAAATGGGTGTTTACATAGAAAAGCTAAGTTGGGATTTCAGTGTAGAAGGGATACACAGGTTAACTCTATTTTCGCACTCACTGTTAGCAACAGGAGCAAAGCCAAACAATCTAGTGTGGACAAGTAGCTGGCTGCCTGGCTTTCCAGCTCACGTGGAAACCTGTGCCATTACCTATCCCCCACTCACCTGCTATGGGTCCATGTGCTAAGGACATCTCACTTCTGCACATTTTGCAGCTCCATGTTATTCTGCTTGGGTGATGGTGGGTGAAAGCATGATGGGCATGAGCTTTCCTTTCATGAGCCATGATACAATTACATTTCTTCATACAGGAGTCCAGGTCTGGACATAGCTTGAACAGTATCACTCAGCCAAGAGTCCTGGTCCCACTCCGTCCCTCTCCTGGTTTAATACTGTGTCAGGCAGGCAAGCCCTCTATCACAGAGGGTTTGTATGTGTGTATTATGTATCATACAGTACTATACAATTTAAGATGTGTCACTTCTTGAAGTCAACAGTATTTAACTGAGAAGGCACATGAATTGATAGCACTTTATTAGCATTACTGGCACATCGCTGCTGTAAAGCAGAGTGGCAAACGAGGTCGCTCCCTCATGTGAAGAAATGTGTTGTATTATTCCAATACTCATTTTGATCTTTAATTTATTTGCCTCGTTTAAAAAAAATCACTGACAGATATGTTGATTCAGAACTGCTGCTAATGCTAGCACTCTGAGGCTTATCAAAGAAAAAACACGTTTGAAAAGTAAGCTGTATTTTGAAAAAGAAAGGAAAATCAGAAGTCAGATATAACACCAGGATATCTTTTCTTAAAATGCTGTATGAAAATTATCCTCAAAGTTTTAATAGCAACTGTTAATTCAAATACATTCACGATTTTTTTGACTTTTTAATTAAGATGTTAGATGAACTAAGTTTAGACTTAGATTTAACTTAACCAGTGAGTCAGTAATTATGAAATACAGCATATTATCAGAAGATCTAGGACTGCTATGAGTAGAAGTTTAGTGCTTTGTAGATTGTAAACGTATAATAAAGGGCCTCAGACACAGTCTAATGAAGTCACCTGAAGTCTCCTTACTGACTTTAGCAAACTTCAAACAAAAATCCTGAGTAGAATATGGCAAATCCTGACCAAGACCTGGACTAGAATTTGCAAGGAAAGCTGTCCTTTACTGCAAAATCAGTTTCTGGAGTCTCACGTTACTGTTTTGAATTGCTCTGCCGCTAGCCACGATGGCTACAAAGAAGGGCTTGAAAAAGCTAACTGAAAGTAAGACGCTACAAGAACATATCCATAAGCTTTCAGAAAGTCAGAGATAGTGTCTG